GGTTCGAATCCAGCCCAGACCCGCCAAACAACAATAAAGACAGAGTTGGCTCTGCGCCTATAGCTCAAGTGGCTAAGGCGCCAGCCACATACACCTAAGGTGGTGGGTTCGAATCCAGCCCAGACCTGCCAAACAACAATAATGGCTACAACCAAAAAAAAATGGCCAGGCGTTGTGGTGGGCGCCTGTGGTCCCAGCAACTTGGGAGACAGAGGCAGGAGACTCGCTTAAGCCCAGGAGTTGGAAGTTGCTGTGAGCTATGCCACGGCACTCTACCCAGGGGGACAAGCTTGAGGCTCTGTCTCAAATAAATAAATAAATAAATAAAAATAAAGACAGAGTCTTAGTCACCTTGGGTTTGAGTGCCACAGCGTTATTGCTCACAGCAACCTCAAACTTTTGGGCTTGAGTGATCCTCTTGCCTCAACCTCTCGAGTAGCTGGGACTAGAGGTACCTGCCACAGTGCCTGGCTATTTTTAGAGATGGGGTCTCCCTTTGGCTCAGGCTGGTCTTGAACTTGAGAGCTCAAGCAATCTGCCCATCTCAGCTTCCCAGAGTCCTAGGATTACAAGCATGAGCCACCACGCCCAACCCACAATAAATATTATTTCTTTAAACCAAAAATCAATTATAATCACATTAACCAATGTTTATATGTACACATATATGTATATAAATAAAAGGAAATAAAAATTATAAAACAAATTATCACTAGGAGTCATCAATGAGTGAAAAAAAATTGTGTCTTCAAAGAAGCTTGTCATATTTTAAAACATTGCATATTTGGGCAAAAGTAAAGAATGACAAACATAGAAAGCCATTATAGGAAGGCACGGTGACTCATACAGTAATTCTTCCACTTTCGGGGGCCAAGGAGGGAGGATTACTTGAGCCCAAGAGTTTGAGACCAGCCTGGGCAACACAGAGAAACTCCATTTCTACCAAAACAATTTTTTAAAATTAGCCAGGTGTGGTGGTTTCTGCCTATAATCCCAGCTACTCAGGAAGCTGAGATGGCAGGATCATTCAACCTCAGGAGTTCGAGGGTGCCGTGAGCTATGATCCCACCACGGTACTCCAACCTGTACCACAAAGCAAGACCTTGATTAAAAAAAAAAAAAAAAAAAAAAAAGACATCACAATATTTCAAGTAACCGTAAGTACAAAACGAGATAAATACATGTAATAAAAGTTAAAATTAAAAGTGTGGGTCTAAAAGTATACAAAATACTAAAGGGTCATCTGTCACCTTAATTTTCTCAGCTTTCGTGGGTGCCTGCTTGGCACTTTCCTGGCATAATTTTTCAAACTGTCCTTCTCCTTCGAAAGCTACAAGGCTCTTCTCAAATATCCAAGCTCTTTCTGGGGCATCACCAAAGAACTGTACATGATACTGACGTGCACTCTTTTTCTGACCTAGTTTTTAAAATAAATATTAGAACATAAAAGTTAGAATTGAGGGTGAAATTAGGCAAATCTATTGCTGCTTTGTAATTGTTTTCTTCAATAATGTTGGAGTCTGTTAATCTCAAAATAAATCATCCCTTTTTATCTCCACCATGCTTCATGACAAAGAGGGAAATTCATTTACAAAACAAAATAAAGTTCAAAAAAAGTGACTGAGAGAGAAAGCTAACCAGACGTACTCCTTTACTATCTACCCATAAGATCTTTTTTTTTTTATTAAAGCATAGCTGTGTACATTAATGCAATCATGGGTTACAGTGTGCTTGTTTTATATACAATTTGAAATATTTTCACCAAACTGGTTAACATAGCCTTCATGGCATTTTCTTAGTTACGGTGTTAAGACATTTCTATTCTTACTTTTTTTTTTTT